CCCTGGCTGCAGGCTGATAACAGACAGTTGGGATCGCGGCGAAATTCTCTCTGCAGACCCATTCTCACAGCGTTTATCAAACTTTTTCTTACTCAATGTCAAGCCACACTTATTGTTTTTACTTCGGCTGTGACTTTGTGTGTGCTCAGGGTGAGTTTGGCTGTGTTTCGCTGTGTATCGCTAAACAAGGAAACAACACCTCTACGGAGCTCAGCGCGATTCACAACGTCCCAACCAATCTGAGCACACTGTGCTCACAGGGAGGGTGGGGGCTGGAGNCACGTCAAACCTCAACAAACACCTGCAAAGGACACATGCTAAGGTGAAGCTAACGCACACGCTATTTGTTGTTTGTTTATATCACGTAGTCTGTTCTTCTTCTCTGTCTTCTGGTTGTTGCCTGTTTTGAATGACGAATACACACTACCGCCGCCTGCTGGTAAGGAGAGTTATTGCCACTCACGCATGCGCAGTTCGTACGTGCTCGGCGAATAAAGTAACGAGTAAAGTAACGAGTAAAGTAATGAGTTACTTTATGTAGAGAGTAACGAAGTAGTGTAATATATTACTTTTTTTTAAAGTAATATGTAATATGTAATCAACGTTGCGTGGAAGTCGGAAACAGTACCGAAGGAGTGGCAGACCAGGGTGGTGGTTCCCCACTGTTTCCGACTTCCACGCAACGTTGATTACATATTACATATTACTTTAAAAAAAAGTAATATANACAACAGACCGCTCGTTAGTCAGCATATATTCAATACCTGACATTAACTAGTGTGAGTGTGTGTGTGTGTGTGTGTGTGTGTGTGTGTGTGTGTGTGTGTGTGTGTGTGTGTGTGTGTGTGATTACCTAGCACAGGGCTGTTGTGTTCGTCCCCAGGAGTCCAGCTGAGGGTGACTGAACGACGCTTAGGTTCAGTGATCTGGAGGAGTTCAGGAGGGTCCGGTCGATCTGAGAAGGACAACGATAGCATCATCATCACAACTACCTGCACATTGTTTGTTTTAACAAATAGGAAAACTTAATTTGGAAAAAGACTGAGCATTATACAGTATCAGAAATCCTACCCCATAAAGAGAGGGTGACACTGGCTTCAACCGAGTCAAGTTTAGTGATGACGTCACAGGTGTACAAGCCCTCATCTTCTTCTTCCACATTGGTGATTTTCAGATCTGGTCCATCAAATGTGTATCTAAGGAAATATGGTCATAATTATTATCCCCTCGTAATTCGTAATCATATACCAGATGTTTCAAAGGAGGCAAAAAGTGAATGAAAGTGAACACATATTATGTTACTACTGAATGGCCTAGATCAGTGGTTCTCAACTGGTCAGGCCTCGGGACCCACTTTTTCCTTTGTCGATAAATCGCGACCCGAAATTTTGAACCACTCAAATCTATTCAACAAAAAATTGTGCTGTAATATATATGCGCCTTTCATCATCTGCGACCCACTCGAAACGGGTCCACCAGTTGAGAACCACTGGCCTAGATGTCTGTGATTTGGCTACAGGGATACAGTTTTTAAGTTTTCCTACTTTACTGTTTCCCACTTTCCCAGAGTCAAACAATTCAATGCCTTAGGAAAGACCTTTGTAAAAGTATTTGGTGTAGTCTGAAGTCAAGTCAAACACAGGAGGCCCACAGTCTCCATATTTGAAAATCACTGATTTATTCATTTGACCATTAACGATAAGTTTATATATTTGTTTGGTTATACAACAGGGGAAATAAAGATAAAAAACGGTTATGTAGGGGTAAAGAAATTAAATGTTTATTAATTCATTTGTATCCCTTGTTTGTGATTGGACTTTAAACAACTAAACAAACATTGGATACAATTATAATCCTGTTAGTAATGTCTGACATTATGTTAATTTCTGTTCGATCTCCAATGGGTAGATTTGAGTCTTACTTTCCATCACTGGGGGACTCGAAGATTTTTTTATTGTCCTTTCTCCACTGAATTTGTGGAGGGCCAAGTTTGGGGTCGACAACGGCCAGACAAGTGAAGATTGCTGTGTTCCCACGCTGCACCTTCAGATCCTGTGGAGGTGACACGATCACTGTCCTGTCTGAAAGAGAAAGCAGGCAGAACGCTGAGACACGCCGCATGAGGTACACAAAGGGTGTGTGTGTGAGTCTGTGTGTGTCTATGTGTGTGTGTGCATGCGTGTGTGCCCACTCACTAAGCACTTCCAGCTCGGCATTGACAGATAAGTTGGTGTTCTGTATGGAGCAGGTGTAGAAGCCCTCATCATCGTGGGTGACATTAAAGATCTCCAGCGCCCCGTTGGTGAGCTGGTTCACTCTGGGATCAGCCAGTAGGGAGGAGGTGCTGCTGCTCTCCCTGGAAGAGACACACACCCCAAAACACCCATTAGAAACCTTTTGAGCCGCTATTCAACATAAATAATAAAGACTCATTTTAGGCTGGCCACATTGACAACAATTCACATTCCAGATGTAACAGTATTTCTCTGTTAATTTATGCGCTGAGCTGCCCACGCAATTGTGTCACCACCTTGAAATGTGTTAAAATCAAAATCTGCCAGACGGCACCCTAGAATACATAATGAAATAAACTGCAATAAAACACAGTAGGATACAAATAAAGGGGTTATGGGCCTCACCATATGATTTTAGGTTTAGGAGAGCCAAAGGTTTCACACTCTAGTAAAGCCGTCTTGCCCTCCGTAAATGTGTAAGTATTCCCATCCTCAACAAGGATCTGGGGAGGCAGCTCTGAAACAACACAAACAATCAGAAATGAGACAAACACAGACCTACAAACAGATACACAACTCTCTGTAATAAGTGAAGGAAACAAACACTCACCAATGACATAGACGTTGGTGTTGGTGAGGATGGTGCCATGCTTGTTGGAGGCCTGGCACTGGAAGATGGCAGTGTCTCCAAAGTTGACATCTTTTAAGATCAGAGACCCGCTTACTGTCAGAGAACGTCTTGAGTCCTTGTCGATTGCTTTTAATAAAAATAAAAAATCCCAGTCATTACATGCACAGGGTTGTGTGGTGATGTATTTTCATTATGGGTGTATACGCACTGACCTGAGATGGGAACCCCGTTGATGGTCCAGCTGATGGTGGGTGATGGGATGCCGTCGGCCTGGCAGTCCAGCCTGACAGTCTCGCCTGGGGCGTACAACTGGCTGGATGGCTCCTTGATCCAGTAAGGAGCCGCTGGAAGAAAGAGAATATATACATTATACACATTACAAGCAAAACAATTCACAGTAACAAAAACAACAGAAGGCAGTACTTAGTTAGATTGATGAGTCACACACTACAAATTGTCACATTTTCCAAAATGAAGCAACTGATCGCTTTACTGTTCTGTGTACTTTATGCTCCATACATTTTACAAGTCAAAGTCTATTTACTGGTCACAGGGAGTATTAAATGTCTTCTCCCCTTTGCCACCCATGTAGGTGTGTGTGTGGTTGTGTGACATACCTTCCACAGTTACGATGTAAGTGTGTGAGACCTTCCCCTGGGAGTTCTCAGCTGTACACTGATACTCGCCTCCGTCGCTCTCTGAGATATTACTAAAGCGCAGGCGGTGGTTGAACATGTCTTTAATGGTCCGAGACTCGGACATTTCACCGTCTTTCCTCAGCCATGAAATTTTGGGAGTTGGACTGAAGAGGAGAAGGGAGGAGAGGAAGAGGTATAGCAGGAATGGTTAGTGTGTGGATGAAGGAGAGGACACATTAAACAGAGAACGATAGGAGGTAGGAGGAGGGGCAGGAGATGGATGAGATGCAGGTAAGATTGATTAAAAGGTGTGGCTCAAGTTTTTCTGATTGATGGAAACTCACAGGCCTTTGACGATGCACTCTAACTCAAGGGTCTGCCCTCTGAGGGTGTGGTAAGTGCTGTGGCTTCCAGTAGGTCTCATCATCTGGGGCCTCCGGTTCAGCAGTACGGAGTTGGCTAGAGAAAGAGAAGCGGAAACACAAAGAACGATTCATAAATATGTATGGGTAATTTTCAAATTGCTGTGCTGCTGACACAGCAGCCACTTTAGAGACTCTCACACACGCACACACTGATGCAGGGTGTGGAATCATGTGGAGAAGACCTTTCTAACAACATATCATCATACAGACTTTCTACACACACAGAGGTCTCTCATGTTAACATGTGCTCGTCTCCCTGACCTCTAGTGGGGCCACAGATGCTGGTAGCCACGTCTCAGTGTGAGATGCATCTCATTACCACTGGGCTGGGGAGGTGACGGCCCCCTGCCGGCTGTGGGACCGTCTACTGCTGTGGTCAGCACAACATACCCCCACATGAGGCTGAGTTGACTTTGGTTTAACTATGAGACTCCATTGGTCGCAATCGCAAACACATTTTAATAATGACGGTTTAGCATATTATTTATGCTGTTAAATTATAAAGACCTATATAGTTTACTTTAACAGATTTCTCTTAAACAAAACAGTATGAAGAGATTTATAAGACATGTGACTGTCAAACTGTCCAGGATATTTCAAAATGAGAGTATTATACACACTAACACAAATGCATGTTTCAAGGGGCATCGTAACCTTGTTCTTAACCAGTTGAGCCCCGAGCTTGTTTTCCAGGCCCCAGGCTCGAAAATGACATTCCCAGAACAATTGACTATATCTTCACTTCTAAAAGGGGTAAATTAATTTTAAAAAATTGAAAGCAATGACAAACCTGTGAGTTAGATGTAGAAAAGTCAGAATCAATATAGAATTGTTTTATTTTAAAGTAAATTCAGATTGTACCGAGTAAAAAAATGTAAATGATAGTGTCCGTCCAAAAAAAAAACATTACTTATAGAGAAAACTACCCTTGAATGATGGGATAGTTTGGGTCGCCCAAATTATCAGAATATCTAGGGAGGAAAATGTCTGTCTGTCAGACGGTTGGTCTACATACCACTTTGGCTTTTTGATGTATAACTATGGAACTTGGTTCATACTGTAGAGCCCTGGTTCCCAGACAATGCATCCTAATGTTTTTTGTTGACCCTCTGAGCTTTTTTAGAGCTATTACATGGGAAGTCATGAAATGTGCCCTTTGTTGACTATCTGTATATCAGTATTAAAGGTCGAAGATGCATTTCTGCAACTCAGCTCAGGTCATTTGATTCAGGTTTACTTTAAGCCAGTCATTTCATTTAGAGCAAAACTCACAGGGGTTAACAGTCAGGGTGATGGGTTCCTTTGCCAGAATGGTGCGAGTGGCAAGGTATTGGACATTGCAGGTGTAGTCATTTCTGTTGTCCTCAGTGGTCAAATGGGCAAAGTATAGGTTGCCATCCTTCCCCACCACCACCCGTTCACTCAGCTGGATATGGTGTAGTTCTGTAGAGAGAGGGAGAAGGGAAATGAGAGACATTGATGACAGATAGTGGCAGAGAGAGAAATGAGAAACAAGAGAGGGAGAATAAGGAGCTTAACAAGAGGATAAAATAATCAGAGGAAATAGAAGAGCTAGGCATAGAGATACAATAGGATGAGAGAAATTGAAATATGATGATAAAGAGACGTCCCAGAATAGAGGTAACAATAGACTCCACTCAGCCCACAAAAGGTACTAAGACATTTGAAAAAACACATCCAGGAACAGATAAATGCATGAAAGGATATTCCAGACATGGGGAAAGATACTATAGTTTGAGGTATAAATAATCAACAACTCACTTTGAGTGGACATTAAAAGGATAGAAAGATACAGGAGACAGGAAGGATGTAATGGAAGGAGAGATGTAAGGGTAATGTACTTACTCCAGTCCATCCAGTGTATGATGGGCTCCATAGAGCTCTGCGGGGGGTTACACTTCAGGATGGTACTGCTTCCCTCTTCAGCCTTCACATTACCCTTCTTTTCTTTCTGCTGTGTTGGAGGAACTACAGGGAGGAACATGAGATCAAACTCACACATGTTAGTCTATGTAGATAAACACTTATGGGCATACAGTATAAGAGTTGCTCTAGTGACTGTGGCATATGAACATTTATCGGCCAGTAGTTCTGGTTAACTTTGCATCAAACTTCAAAGTTGATGTTCTCTGATAAGTCACCCATATTGTGTACACAGAGAATTTGAGTTTCTTTGCTTCTTTTTCCATTACTCCTGAAGCAAATGAAAAAGAATGCACTACAGAAATGTGCATGTTTTTCTTCTGTTTTGTCCTGTATGATATATCGCAAATCATACAAACCTGCGCACACATGTATAGTGTAAAGCCAAGAGGCACTTCACATCCCACAGTCAACTTGAACAAACAATGTAGTTGATCAGGAGTACTATTTGAAAACCCCCATTTGAGGAACTTTAGGCGTTTTAGGAAGAAGACATTGGCTTGTCTTTTGTCTTGCAGATGTAAAATGATTTGTGAGTCATATGTGTTCCCTCTCCCCACCTCCCCTCCGCCCATTGTTGATAACCCCACAGGAGCTTCATAAGAGCGCTTCACATGACATCAACTCAAGAGCGTTTCTGGGGAAACCGTTGTCAGGGAAACTGTGAAGGAAGGAGGTCGCCCAGGAGAGAGCCAGTCACACAGGTGGATGGATGCACAGAGGTGCTCTTTACTTTTGCCCAGGGGCCCATGTGTGTGCTTGTGCATGTGTGAATGTAAGTATATGCTGATTATCATGTTATTGCATGTAATTATATTCCGGGTGGCGGTGCTCTCGGTGTGAGCCTCCATGATAACAAATGAGCTCTCTATAAAGCAGGGTACAGGGAAAGGTTTATACGCTGGCTCACAGCTTTGTATATCGCTTTGTTATTGCTGATAAAAACCCACAACCACGTGCCTCGCTGGACCTTGAAGGCATTTACAGGAGCCCTAACGCTGAAATTGACATCTATAAAAGACCTATGTGATACAACCTTATGAGAAAATATCAGAGGAGGTTTGATTAGTTTGATACTGTTTTAAATGGTGCGTGTGGCTCTCAAGGCTTAAGCGAAATAATTACAAATCAGCAAATACTCATGCATGATGGAATTTGAATATTCAAATAACCCGTCAAAATGTAATGCTTCTGTCTCAGTAACTGGTCAGTTTGTTGTAGAATTAATCAGCCATCAGCATGTTCTTACCGTCACTGCTGATGGTGGCCTCGTTAGAGACGGCTGTCCCCAGCTCGTTGGATGCGTAGCAGACATATTTGGCTTGGTACGGCTTCAGGCTCTCCATAGTATTACTGAGTGTGTAGAAAGCGAATGAGCCAGCGCGCTCAGTAACCTTCAGCTCCGGGTCACTGCCTGGGTCAAACTCCTCTCCATCCTTTGTCCATCGGAAACTTGAGAAAATAAAAAATATATAAGTTACGCTGTCGGGAGAGTTTTCATTAAAAAAAAACAATTTCAATGCATTTGGAAAAGCTGATTTTTTTAGCACACATGAGATCAGACCCGGCGCCAGCACAAATCTACAGGGAGGGCATATGATTTTTATGGGAGGGCACACAAAACCGTCATGTGCTGCGGCCAGTATCGGCGCCAGAGATTTTCTTTTGGGGGCTGGGTAAGCAGGGGTAAAGTGCTATTTTTGTGTGGGGGTGGACCTACCCTCCTTTAGGGAAGATTTTTTTTTGATATTGAAGTTAAAAGCATCAATCTGGTGTACTTTGAGAGCAAAATTAAGAGATCTATGGATACATCTCTCAGCACCCATATGAAACAGAACAGTAAGCAGATTTTCTTTTTCTTTATGGATATTTTACAAATCACTCCCCTTTCAAACTCTATTCTTGTTTTACTGTCATATAGTATTTCATACCTGTTTTTCATTTATTCTCTTATTTTACTATCTGACATCACATACATCGTAGCCTTAAAGGTGGGGTAGGTAATTTTGGAGAAACCAGCTCGAGTGCGCTAGAATGTGAAAATACACAGCCGGAACAAATCTGCCACTTCCTTACAGAGCCCCTCCTCCAACACACACGAACGCGCACATGACCAATGAGGGGCACGAGATAAGTTTGTGCACAGATGGAAGGCTGACAGGCAGGTAGGCCATCCAGTTATTTTAGCCGGGCCGGCTCAGATGATTGGTCGTGCTTTTTACAGTACTACGGCTTCCACAGATGACATTTAATGGATTTTTTGTCAAAGCACTTAAGATATTCATTGCTATTGGGATGTTAAGAGCATTCCATGGAATATAAAAAAAAGTGTATCTCGAGCCGGTTTCTCAAACTTACCTACCTATTTAAAGTTCACAGTTTATTTATAATTTAAAAAATACTTTTTTTTTTTTTTACATTTTTATAAATAAAATAAAATGTGTTTATTGTGGGAGGGCAGGAATGTCAAATGGGAGGGCCTGGCTTAAATGTCACTGAATTGATACACAAATTCCAAGAGAAGCCCCACTGGGACTCATGAGCTAGTGCTGTGTAATTGCGATATTCATCTTTTCCTTGGCAATTGGAGCAGTTTTCCACTTCGGAGCAGCTAAGACACTCTGAAAAGATTGCTTGAGGGCTTAATGACGTTTATCCCTTGTTGAAGTGAGTACTGACGGGGAGAAGCTGTGCTCTCATGTAATACTAATATGTAGATGTCAGCTGAACAAGGACAGGGAAGGTCACCATTCCCAGTTGTCTAAAAAGATAACCAGTGTCTAGCTCCTCCATTATTAATACAGCATCTTCAGTATGTGTGTTTGTGTGGATGTGTATGTGATGACTAACATGGGTAAAGGGTTGCCGGTGGCTTCACAGTTCATGACGAAGTCTTCAACACCAAAGACGGTGACAGACTCCGGCTGTATCATGATCATCGGAGGCCTCTTTACTGCAAGAACACAACATAGTTAGTGTTGTCACAAGACCATTTATAAAGCAGGGATACATGAGAAACACATAATCAGAATAGTGCTGCAGTCTTCACATGACCTGCTTTGATTCTGCATGCTGCTGTAATAACTCCCACTATGACATACACACATATATCATCCCCTTTGTCCATCGGAAACTTGAGAAAATAAAAGATATACACACACATCTCTATGGCCGTGGGGAAATGGCTTACCAAGCAGCACAAAATAACCAGAGATACCACTCAGTTTTACACTTTAACAGCTGCAGAAAAGTATATTCAGTCAATATCACTTAAAAAAAGACTCCCTAGAGAAAGAGATGAAATGTAGGACAAAGAAAAGAGTGCGAGTAAGAGAGCGGGCAGAGAAAATGGGTAGAGACTAGAGGAAATTGATATAGCATAATGTAAGAGGGAGAGTTTATGTAAAAGAGATATATAGTGCTTTCTGTCTGTGTGAGAAGGAGAGATAGGGGGAGCGGGGGTATGGGGAAATAAAGCAGGGATTTTGAAGGAAAAAAGGAAAGACCACCAGAGGAGGTTTCTCCTTCTCTGTCGCATCTGTCCACGACAGCCATAAAGCACAGCCTCGATAACAGAATCATAAAAAGAGACATGCTGGGATTTGGAGTGAATACTTTATTGAACCAGCATGTTTGATTTTTCCACATGCTTTATGGGCCTGTGTCACTTTTTCTGTTCTGTTATTCAATACTTATAGACAGAAACGTAAATCTTTAGTGAATACCCTGTCGGCTGTTAGCAGTGGAATAGAGGTCACAGCTTGATATTCTTTCGGTAGCGTCTTTAATTTGACTTCAAGTGAAGAGACAAAGCCTGAGGTGAATTTACATTATGTAGGTAAATGGGCTGCATTATATGTGGAAAAGGCAAGGGAGAGGAAGAGCTGAGCAGACAGGAGGAGATGGAAAGAAGTGCAGCAAAGAGACCATGCAAAGACAAGACACAGAGCAAAGGGAGACAACGGTGGAGATGAAAAACAAACAAGGGTAGATTCACAGAGCTTCAGAAAGAGATGGATAGGGAAAGTTGGGGAATGTAATGAAAGAATTCCCACTGATCGAGCAAATAAGCCCATTTCCTCAGCTGATCAAATTGAGGTTTGGGCTGCAGGCTCAGCTCCATTATTGGCAGAGGAGGAGCAGAGGAGCCAGTGCTTAGTGCTCTAACTCCCCTTTATTTCCCCATGCCTTTGATCTGACAGCCCTGCTGCCTCCTAACAGACAGCAGCTCCTCACACTTCCTCCTCCCTGCTCCTACAGGGATCTCACCTATGGGAGCCGGTGATGCTGAGCACACATAAAGTAAAAGGCACACAGAAACAGGTGCATGTTCCCCATACAACACACACACACACACACACACACATCCTCGCGTGCAAACACACATGCGCAATCGAACACAGGAACTGAAACAGATGAATCAACACGAAGGAACACTCAAGCATAACGCTGCAAATGCACACCAATGCCTGATTCAGTGAGACAGGACCTTCACAGTGTGCAGGAAGGAAAATATCCTCTCTGGCATAATGAAAGTGTTTACAAGGAGCTTTGCCAGCACCTGCATTAAGATGGATGAATGTCAATAAAGTTAAAAGCACTTACGATCACTTATGTGGTCTGTTAGTCCACAGTGGTGGCCAGAGAAAAGGCAATGAGGGAAACAAAAACATTTTAGTTACAGTAAACCAGAAGGGAAAAGAGAGTTAATATACAGACATGGTGAAAACAGATAGTTAGATAGATAATTGGACAACAATTATGATACATTGACGATAAAGCATCGTAATGTCTCCTGTAATGGAGCGTAGCTTTTAACCCCTGCCTACTTGACACAGATTCTAACGCATCTCCTTTATTGATCCCCATCTCCGTTCCACTGACACTCACTGACATGGCAGAGGCTCGCTAATCGAAAGGCAGGGGACACCTTGACCTTTTACATCTTTGACCCGCTCCTCCTTCCTTCTCCTCACCATCATTCCTTCATCCTCCTCGGCCATCTCTCCTCTGTGACACCTCCCCCATTAGAGAATTAGACTTGGGGATTTACTGCATTTCATCAACGTTTACAGGTCGTGCATGTGTGTCCACCATGTGTGCGATATCTTGTTTTGAAGTCTGTGTGGGCGGTCAAGGACTGTCTTAGATAAAGAGAGAACAACAAAAGCCTCTCTCTCTCTCTCTCTCTCTCAGCTCTGTAGGCAACAGAGGAGATGAAGATCAATTTCCCTGCAGGGCCACAAGCTCAGCTGTATTTCCAATGCCCACATATTGCATCGAGGAGGAGGAAGGAATGAAAGCGAGTAAGAAAAAAGCTTGCTGGATTTGTGTTGTATAATTCAATTGTTGATTAAATTACTCTCCAATCAGATTCTGGTTTGCACCAAGGAAACCAGATCAATAGTGGGACTAATCAATGCAGTATGAGGGGATCAATTACCAAGTAATTAGAGACACCATAGGCCCAGATGAGCGCTACCCAAAGAAACCTCAGACAGTGGAGTATTTGGAGCATAAAAGTGCAATTCAACCCTGAATATTGAGGTTCCTGAAAGAGAAACACATGCTTTTTCAGTTCATTTGCACTAATTACCCATGATGAAAGATCATTATTAGCCGGGCTTTGATGAATCAACAATGTAATTAGCACAACAAATAGATCTTTGAACCTCATGGAAGCATTCAGCCTCCGTTGTCATGAATAGTACCATATGAATCTGTACTCACAGTTGGAGGGTATGTGTATGGCTGTTTGGATGGGCTGGGCAGCAAGGGAGAGGAAGAGGAGGAGGGGGAGGAGGCGTGAGGAGCACTGCCCCCTACTGCCAACCTGCTGTCGCTGCGTGTGAGGCATTGCTCACTGTCCCATCAAAGTCCCACCTGCTCACACACTCGTACAGTAGAACGCACAAAGAGGGCAACCTCACAAGTGTGAGGCTTTGTTTCTTTTCCAGGGAGGCCTTGTACGTCCCTCTTGTCTTTTTTTCTGCTCTTCTGTAGGTCAGGTCCACGCCCTCCTACTGGTCTCTTCTCTGAAACATAAAAGAGAGGGGGGAGGTGAGGGGAGGACAAGTGGAGAAGCGAGAAGGAGGGGCGGAGGGGGGCCATGTGTCAGAATGAGAGAAAAATTACCATGCACCATGTGGTCAGACCTACAGTACACGCAGACCGAGGCACGGAGTTAACACACCAATCAAGGGTCAACACATCCGGACAAAAAGCATCAACAATGCCTATCACTGAACCTGTTCTACTAATCAGACAGCTCCATTTGTGTAATTACATGACCAGTGGCCCATATGGAAGGGCCAGTCCGCAGGACAGATGGACAGAATACCATACCTCGCTGTGGACAGATAGATGCAGATTGATAAAGTGTTCAATCAGATCATACGCAGAGACAGACAAATAAATAGTTGATAATTAGGTGGACTGATCCTAGGACGAAACCAAACATAGTGTACTTGGGTGATGGTACTGTGATAAGCGTGTGATAAAGATGCTATCAGGCGTGGTGAGTAAAGGAAGCCACCCCTGCTAGGAGTCTATCCGTTCTCCATCTGTACTCTTGGATCTGGTCCTCGCCACAACATGCAGGCTGTCCTCACTCGCGGGACCACGTGGCGCAGCCCGCTGACTGTTTACACTGCTTAGTATCACACACAAAGAACTGTTACAGCCCTCCCTGATTAAGACGTACATGTGAGACAAAAGAAAATGGCGATAATAGAGAGAGGATGCTTATTTGGCAGCTCGGCAGTAATGGCAGTCTGATTGAAAGAGTTCTGGCTCGGCACACCACTGTTAGTTGGCAACGCCTCAGCAGAGAGATGGCCGACCTTGGAGAGTGGGGGGGAGGTCAGAGAACAGAGGAGAGGAAGACGATGGAGAAGAGTGGAGGGCAGGAGGAGGATGGAGAGATGTGATAATCATTAATTTCTTTGATTAAGTGGCTGACCAGTTCATTACAGGGGATGTGTTCATGTCACTCAATAAAAAACAATGTGTTCGTCAGCAGGAATATGGGATCAGAGCCAGAGTAGGGGAAATGAAAGCCCAAACAAGAGCGGAGCCTTTAATAAAGAAGTTTAAACTAACATCATTAGGATTAAATGAGCCATTACACTAACTTGCTTGGTTTGTCAGAAGAATGGCACAACAAGAAAATAAAGAGGCAGAAGAAGGAGGGGTGAAGTGGGTGGAGGAACGAACGGGAAGATAAAGAGGAAAAGTGGGTTTGAAGTAGAGAGCAGAGGAAAGAGAGGAGTGGAGGTGAGGGAGGAGAGGGATGGAGTGGCTGATGGAGGGTGAGAGGTGATGGGAGGAGTGGAGGCATATGGAAGGAGGGGATGAAGAGGGATGACAAAGGCTGACAGCTGTGACGCTAATCCAACCTCTCCCACACATACACACACATGTGCAAGCTCTTCCAATCAGTGTGCATCATTTGTTCACTTTCTTTTTGTTTCTCTTCTCCTTTTACTTTTTATCAGCCGCTTTAGTGGTTGTTGTTCTCGGGAGACAGGGGGCCAATTACTGTGATCCGGTCTTAAACCAGGCTCTCCCAAATGCCATTAGAGGCAGATGAATGAAGCGGGGCTAGTCAGGGTATTAGTACTTGTGTTAATATGATCTAAGGTGGGAGCTTGCCTATCAGTGCCCCCCCCCCTGAAGAGACTGTGAAGGAAAGCCAAGTGGAGCAAAGCAGGGCACTGATTAATGATGTGGCGGCCGTCACTTGTCATGCCGCCAATCACAGTTCACCAAGGGATTGTACTGCTTATGCACACACACACACACACACACACACACACACACACTCAGGTACACACTCAGGGGCAGTAACAGACATACAAAGAAAACTGAAATGCATGGATAGATCGACAGAAAGGAAAGCAGACCTCAAGCGGGCGGACAGAGAGGATCAGACTGATAAAAGGGCATGGTCCAGTGGGCCTCAGTCAGGAAGTAGACCTTGCCAAAGAATATTGCAGTCCTGTTGAGTGTGAGCAGTAAAGGGGAACACTATAATGGGTTGGGAGGGGCATTGAAAGAGAGAGAGGAAGAGAGAAGTAGCATGGAAGGTTGCCATGTAGTGTGGCTGACCCAGTCACCCAAACATGCTGATGGCACAGACTGATGTGGCCTGACACGCAAGCACACAATCGCACACACACACACATCCAAGTTGTGTGTGCGCGGCATGGAGCCTCGTGGAGCTCCATTATCACAGGGGTGAGAGTCACTGACATCGAAGCAGATGCATGATTTCACTTCTTCAGGGTGTCTGCTGTGCAGCTGTCAGCGATCCAATCCCAGCCCTGTTACCTGCTTCATTGGACAGGGTCAAAGGTCACGCCTGCGATTGCTGTTTGCAGCTGGGCTGAGATGACCCGCCACAGTGTCTCTGAGTGCTTTTAAAAACTATTATCACCACTGGGATGTCAACTGGCGCTTCAGATGTCGTTCAATGACGCGAAGATTGTAGAGTGAGCATCGCTGCGTTGAGATTTGAGGGCGTGGTAGTTTTCGTTTTTCCACAAAAAGCCTGACTGCTGAAAATTCGCCGCCAACAGGCCATGTATCAAACGAGCCAAATCGACCAAGTCAATTTTGCAACTCTTTCAATTATTCATGATTTTCATGCTTAGAGGCGTTTTGCTTACAAAAAACAGGAATAACCCAAACACTTTGTAGTATGCTGTGAGTGTTGCTATCATTAGTAGAATTTAATTGCTGTTGCTATTGTAGTGTGTACCCCCCTTGTCATCCATTAGATAGAAAATTGCACCCTTCCTTTCTCTGCAAAATGTAGTAATTAGCATTAAGTAGACATGTTGGGTGTTGCCAAGGACTTTGAATGCTGAATAGGCTCTTATCAGTGGAGGAGGGTGGGGAGGAGAGACAAGATCAAACCTCAAGAGTCAAATCATGTTTGGAGTTTCACACATACCCTAATCCCCACCGTGCCAACCACCCACATATACATGAGAGACTTTTACTGTTTGCTTCATGTCCTCATGTATCCGTGTGAGGAGCTGCTATGTTGATGAATGTAGCCTGGTATATTTTCTCTCAACACGGTGAGTCATGCAAATATGAATTCTGAAAGCTTCTCTTTACTTTCATCAGATGTGCTGCTCGACTGGATTTGTGCATGTATGATTATGTGTGTGTGGTTGTGTGTGTGTTCTCGTGTATGTTCAAACATGTGTGCAGATCTTGTGTCCTGTCATGCCTTGCTTTTAAATATTAACTACCTCCAGCTGTGAAGATGTGTAGGGGGCGAGAACGCAGGACGGAAGGAGGGGGGAGAAAAATAAATGAATACATGCCCCCCTTTACCCCCTACTCTCCCCCAGGGTTTGTCTGTCTGAAGAAACATCAGAGTGAAAAGAGACGGACGCACAGACAGAGGGAAGATGGAGTGATTTAGACATAAACAAAGAAAACACTCACAAGGAGAAATGGTCTGATAGGCATTACAGGATGAAGGCAGTGAGACATTATAAGGGTCAACGGATAGTATAAGTGAGGAAGGGGGGGGGGGCTGCGAAACAAGGTGAAGCTGGTAGGGGGTAGATGATCATGCCCCCTACTGAGTGAATTATTCATAGAGATCCCCTTCCTGTCGGCACAATTTGCCCTAAATTCTCCCAAATCCATAATTCATTCACAAGCCATGCCGTGGATTTGGTTTGGACCAATAGTGATGCTGTCCATCTATACCTGTCGTCGCCTGTGAGACTGTCTGATTTTCTCCTTCACTCCCCCCCCCTCTTCCTCTCTCTGGCAGGGTCATACTTTATGCATGAGCCTGTTGCAGTGAGACAAGTCTCAGACCCACTTTATCACTACAGCAGAAAAATACCACAAATCATGTGAAATAATACTGGCTACCTGATTCTGCTCCACTCCACAATTCACTTTTTAACACAGATATGTCTTTCATCATTCACCGCCGTGAAGATCGCATTTCTTTCTCACATATTCTTCTTACGAGCCAATCCCCTATAATAAGAACTGCCCAAGAACGATGAGTGCCCATTTTCCTGTCACCTTTTTATCAGTCTTCTTCCTCTCCTCATGCTGCCCCCTTGGTAGCTGACACTAAAAGCTTTCTTCAATTCCCCTCCGATCACTTTTCACAGAACATTTCCTCGTCCCCCTTCCTCTCCCCTCTTCCTAAACGCCTTTCACTGTGGCTCGGACAAAAGGCATTGAGGCCGATTAATTCAATATTTGCAACTTTAATGGAAAATTAGCCCCACAGCACAGTGGGGAAACCAATATCTTCCTCACGCTGGTGTTCTTTGTTTAAAAGGCCAAATACTATGTGTTTCAAGATCGATGATCCATGGTCAACTGCAAATGGAAATTTACCAGCAGAAAAGGCTGCAGAGCTATGCAGCTTATCCGGCATCAGGGTACACAGACAGCGCATTTATCAATACCACTATTAGCATAAGCTTTGCGGTTAGATGCGTAGCGACTCCCACTACTTTAATATGCTGCAATAGAAATCACGCCATGTTTTCCAAATCTTGCCCCTCTTTCAAAGACCTCACCTTACCCCCCACCCCCTTTGTTGTGTCAAGGGTTAGGGTTTAATATTGGAGTGACACAAAGCAGGAGAAAATAAAGGTTGTCAGAGGAGCCGTAAGGGCAACCGCCCACTCTCCTTCTATCCTGGTTACCATGACAACAGGGTCTCCACACAGCATCCCCCCCTTGTACATACAAATTCAGTTATTCACACACATGGACACTAACGGGTTTGCAATATCACTTACATATGCGCACGCACGTACATACGATCACTCATTTGCTGCCAAACACTCTTAGGCCATCCCTCCAACACGCACACGCACACGCACACACACACACACACACACACACACACACACACACACACACACACACACACACACACACACACACACACACACACACACACACAGGAAGTCTTAACATCTATAATATTACGCATTCTTAAACCGACATGTTGACATCCATGACACCTCACTTGGCA